GCGGATCAAAGTATGTGATAAGAAGAAAAATCCTGTGGGTTTTGTCTTGTAAGTCATATCTTCCAATTGCTTCCCAATCATTTTATGAGACAGAACAAGGCAAGCATATGAATCCTTGCCTATGATTATACACGAAGTCTATGTTCCGAATCAAATTAATACTTACAAAGAAGATAATCCGCAAGGACACGTAAGGTTCCGCTTGTTTCACAGAGGAAAAGTATTCAATGACATCTCAAACAATAGATTAACTTAGAAACGAATGAAATAAAATCTAGTAATGCAGAAAAGATTATAGGACAGAATATTGGCAAGCTCGTCTAGATGTGAATAGTAGAAGACATACCACGATCAGTGCGCTGCTGCATATCCACATCTGAAAGAGAGGTTGCAAAAGACCAATTGATTCAGCGGATTCTGTACCACCAGATCCGACCAAACGACAGATCAGCCGGCGCCAGACATGGCCAAAGGGTCGACATGAAGTTTCTTCACCCTCGGGCCTTCGCTCCAATGGCGGGGCTGTGACAGACAAGGTGGGGTAAGAAATGCTGGTGGTGCCGGACGAGGGATGGATATGGGGGTGGCCGTTACTAAGGGGGACGATCGAAGTGGTGGTCGAAGAGGTAGAGTCGCTGCCCGACTCCGCACCGCTTTCCTTAGTAGAAAGTGAAAGGCTTAGACCGAGATGCATTCTAAGGATGGGAAGTGTGTCAGTGGGAAAGGCATGAGTAAAAGAGAAAAATAAATCTATCGAAATGTTAAACTGGATAATTTGAAGTAGTGTGACCTCGACTTCGCAACTTGGTCGTATTTTCAGGGACACCTAGACGAAAACTTCTTGTCCTGAGTTCTCTGCTGTAGTATCCATGACAATTTCCAGCGTCGAACCGTAAGCTTGGTACATTCCCGGACGTTTCCCCGGCATCGTCTGTGAGCCTCGCCATTCTTAGCACCACAATAGAACTTGTAAAAGAGACAAGTTCTGCAAACAGTTAGTCAAAAAATAGACTTGACTTGGTTCTTTGACAAATTGTAGTGAGGTGCTAAGAACGACAGGGCTCATAGACGATTCCGAATGTGATGCTGGCGAAGCGTACGGAAATGTACCAAATCCACGGTCTGACGCTGAAAGAGATCAGCACAAGTATGGTAGAGGACTCCGGTCAAGATGCTTTCGGCCAGGTGCCCCTGACAATACGAGCAAGTTGCGAAAACGAGGTCAAACCACTTCTGTGCAACGAAAGGAGACTGCGACAATACATCTTGGTCCTCACACCTTCGATTAAACTATGTATGATACTAGCATAAAATAATAAGGGTGTTAGCAGTGCAGAGGTGTGAAATCATCGCGATTTTAGAATAAATCACACGAATAAGCGATTTGAGTATAATTCCATGTCATCACAATTCACAAGAGAAGCTATGCGAAAAAAGTAAAGTAAGGCGAGATGGCACTGATGCAAATGGATGCCTAACAGATGGGCTGCATGGAGGAATGGGGACAGTTGGAGTGAGGAAAGGAGAAAGAGGAACACACCTACCTCGCCTCAGGCGGTGTCATAGGGAAACCAGGCAAGCCTGAGGCCACTGTGAACGCATTGGCCGCGGCCAGTTTTAGGTTGTTGGCACGTCGGACGGCTTGCAACTCACGCTGGCTGGGCATCCGGTGACGTTTGATCGGTTTCTGTAACCCAGCCCCGACTGCCGATGGCATCCTGCCGTGGAAGGCGTCAAAGTCTTCGTCCAAGTCGACGCCATTCACAAAAGCATTCACCCCATGACCACAGCCACCGCCACCGGTAGACACAGAGGCTCCGCTGACGGCTCGGTCGTCGGGATTCCCACCTAGCCGCTTTGTGGTTGGCCGTCCGATGAGGCGTTGGCGCTGGCGCTCATGCAGCCGGAGTAGGTCGAGGTGAGTTCGGTAAAGATAAGCGGGTGCGCTGCAAAAGTCAATCAAGCCGAGTAGGAAGCCACGAATGAATGACATGCTGGGCATGGCATGACTGAGTCAGAGAAAGGAAGCATACGGTCTGATTAAGCATGTGTTCGTTCTGTACCCAATTCGCGTAGTAAACTAATTGCTTCTGAATAGCATTGAGTATGAATTCAACCAATTCCAGTCAAAACCGGTTTAGCGCAAGTCATGCCCCTTATTAGTAGGGAAAGTAAGTTGGTGCCCTAAGCCAAGGAAAAAATGGTTGGAAGGAATTCGTTAAATGATCCCCTCCGGGAACCGGAATATTGCCGTCGAGTAAAGATTGTTGGACTGTGTAAAGAAGTCTTCGGCTCGCCGACCTGTGACCCCGATGAAGCTGTGCTAAGCTTTCGTCTGTACCGTCGTGACAGACATCATCAGAGCAAGAATGCATACTTTACGAAAAAGAGCAAAAAAGACTAAATCCAGGGCTACAACCCCTTGTTTTTTATACTTTTTATGTACGGATCCCGGCGCTCTTAATGAGACATCTCATGATTTGGTTGGCAGATGAGCAGTTACTTCACAAACTGGAAGTGCATTTGGTGGCAGCTGTTTCCTCACACAAATAAATAAACGAGCGCACGATTCTCTAATCTTGACTTACGTTTGGGATTGTGTTAGTGTCGATTGAGTGTATGTAATGTTCATGTGATGATGGGTGTGATAGCCCTAAACATACTCGAGGCCGTCCCAGCCTCCTCTTGCTCAGTGGCTCTTCCTGCTCTCCTTATCCTTAAGCTTATCCATTAGATACAAATAGTTCCTACACAATTTTACACACTCGTTCCTCCTCTTAGGGACATTGGCTATTTCGATAATTTCTACGCTTTGATGTCAACTCCTCGTAACACACAAAACGTCTTTTGAGTGTCCTGTATTGGCCAAATCTGTGTAGCGATTTCAGCTTTTTGGACCCACAGACCTTTACAAGCGGTTTTGTGATCGCATAGTTTCTTCTGGATGGGTCATTAGGTCCCACCCTCCACATAGACCTTATCACATGATCACAAAAACTTGTAACAGCTTGATCTAAAAAGAGGGTCTGAAAATCCCATAAACGAGGAAGCTACTAAAAAAAGTGCTAATTTAT